GAGGATTGAGCTTGGGCAGCTCAAAGACTGCTCCCCTCTCTGCTCCATCGGATTTTGCGGGAGAGGCAGCTCCCTGGTGTGACTGGCCTTACTAACCGTGTGCTAAAAGCTCAGTTGTTTCTGTTTATGAGTGCTGCCTAACTTAGCAGCATTAGTTCTGGGTCTGTGGCACCTGAGGCTAGAGAGCGTGGAGACCCTCCTGCCCTGAGAATACCCGGACTCCTGGCAGAACAAGGGCCGTGAGGGATTCGAGGGCAGAGAAGTTCCTCCTAGGTTTAGGAAGGCAGTTAACAAGTTGGTAGAACAAAGTAGGTTCTTTCATTACAGCAACAACCGACTTAAGCTGTTGAATGGTCAGTAGTAGACAGATGGTGGTGAATTCAAACTCATTTAATGATAGCTAACATTTCCAGGGTGCTTTGGAGGGCCACTGAGGGCTCTGGCTCATATTAGAGGAATGGTCTTGTTGAGGGAGTCCTCACCACACCGTCAGGAGGCAGCTGGGTGTCGTAGTGGGTAGAGCGCTGGGCCTGGACTCAGGAAGATGCAAGTTCAGATGTGGCCTTAGACCCTTCCTCGCCGTGTGGTCCTGGCCAGGGCACTGCACCTCTCTCTGCCTGCCTCAGTTTCCTCACTAGTATATGGGGATAATAATAGCACCTGCCTCCCCGAGTGGTTGGAGGATCAAAGATACTTGTGAAGCGCTTCGCAGAGCTGATAGAACTGTGTAAATGCTGGCTCTTGGTATGGCGATTCTAGGAAAGAGCAGATGCTTCAGAAAGACATTGAAAACAAAGGATTTGGGAGGTGTCCCAGTAAACCTGAGAGGAAAAGTGGCCTAGAGCACCGGACGCGGATTGAGGAGACCTGGTTTCAAGCCCTGCTTCTGTGTGATCTGGGGCAGTCACTCTGCCAGCCTCTCTGTGCCCATCTGTGTCAGGGGAGGGAGCTGCCCTCTCCCTTCCCGACCCTGGGACCCTTGGTGGCTCTCGGGGCAGAGGCTGACCTGCATTGTTATAGAGACTCCCTTCACTAGCATGTTTCTGGGTCAGTGAAATCAGAGCCTTATCTGGCAGCCGAGGAGAAACCCAGCTGACCAGCCCTTGTGGAACATGTATCCAGCCCCCTCTCATATGATCGATCCTCATGGCCACATCTTCCTTCAGAAAACGGAGGCTCAGAAGTGAAGGGACCTGACTGTGGTCAGCCAGCCAGTTAACGGAGCACTGTCATTACAGTCATTACTCATACCATGTCGGTTAATATAAAAATCATAACCCCTTTCCACGGGCACATCTGGAGAGGCACCAAGGGGTCCTTCCCTCAAGGAGCTTCCAGTGGGCGAGACAACATGTTCACAACCATGGACAGATGATCTAGATGGGAGCCAGCTGGAGATTGTCAGAGGGAAGGACTTTGCATTAAGGAGGGCAGGGATTGGGATGTTAGCAGAGACTTGAGGGAGTCCCAGAGCCAGACATGAGGCGGGAGAGAATCCCTGGCCTGGGGCATGGCAGTAAGGATGCCCAGTGTCAAAAAGTGACCTGTGTGGTGTGAGGAGAGAGGCCAGTGTCGTTGGATTGGATTTGCCTGGTGGGCAAAGGGGAGTCAGAAGGCTGGAAAGGTGGGGAGGGGCCGGGCTAAGCCAAGTAGAGGATTCTGCATGTGATCTGGAGGGATCATAGGGAGCTGCTGGAGAGTGTTGGCTAGGGGGCTACAGGGTCAGACCTAGCTTGGGGAAGGTCACTTTGGTAGCGGGGTGGAGGAGGGAGCAGGATGAGGAGAGACTGGAGGCAGGGGGGCCCACCAGCGGCTGCCATGGTGCCTCCCCCCCGCGAGTCACTTGGCTGCGGTATTTGAACCCAGGCTTCTCTTAGCTGTGTATCATGCTCTTCTGTGAAAAAGCAGTGTGGCGTTTATTCTGCACCAGCCCCGGGCCTCTCTCTTAGACACTTTTGGGTGAAATGGAGAGCTGAAGGTCTGGAGATCTGAACCCAGGTCCTCAGACTACAATGGGTTTTCACCTTCTTGCCAGGTTAGAACACAGAAGGTCTGGGAACTCAGCCTCTCAAAGCTTGGTTATGCTAATACCTCATTCAGTGGAAGAGACCCTGGCGCTGTTTGGGAATTTGTGAACAAGCCTGACGGCTGAGCTGTGCAAAATGATTGTTTATCATCCTGGTATAGACCCATGCTGACTCCCCTGGGGTGGGGGAAGGACGGGGTCATTATCTTCCCATGTCAGTCGATCCAGCCTGGAAAGGAGGGATGAACTCTGTTCTGCTCGATTGACCCTGGGGAGCAGAACCAGCAGCGATTGATGGGGGCAGATGTGGGCCTCAGGTCGGGAAAAGCCCTTCACAGTTAGAGCCCCCTGAAGCAGAGTCAGGGAGTTTCCCTTTGTCGGCAGTTTTCAGGCAGGCTGCCAGCCTAAGGATCTCCTCGGGGTGGGATAAAGGGGGAGAGGCCTTCTGAGACCTGGGATTCCTGCCTTTGCCTGATATCTGGGAGCGTGCTGGGCTTGTTGGTAACTGGAGGCAGAACATCCCAAGGTGGGAAGACGGAGACATAGACGTTTGGTGTGGTAGGGACAGGTGCCCAGACTCTGGAAAGGAGTTAACACCATGGGCTGAATCTGAACTTAAAGCCTCGGCCTCCCTGAGCTTTCAGTCCAGTGAAATGGCCTTCGTTAGTCAAGATCCTCAGGCTGGCCCTTCCCACAATTACAGGTCTGATTTTTTTTTTATCCCCTCCTAAGCAAACTCTTCATTTCCCTCTGTGATTATCTCCAGTTTATCCTGTATATATTTTATCTGTACATAGTTGTTGGCATGTGGGAATGAAAAGATAAAACAAAAATAAAACACCATTCCTGCTTTCAAGGAGTTTTGGGGGGTGGAGGATGTAGGAGAGGGGATATAAAATATGATTAGATACATTTATACGTGAGAATTTGGGGTAGAGGGAGAGTGCTTAGTTCTGGAGGGCTCAGGAAAGGCTTTGGATCAGTGGTGTTCTGTGAGCTGAGCTCGGAAGGAGGCTAAGGATGCCAAGAGGCCAAATGGAGGAGGGCACGCGTGGGGGACAGCCTGGACAGGGGTAGAGCAGGGAGAGGGCTCAGAGTGTGAATGGGGAGCAGCAAGGACCCCAGCCGGGCTGAAACATGAATAGAGAATGATGACTGTAGAACCCGCCAGAATCATGGATCGTGGTGCGAGAGCTGGAGTTGATATTATGGGGATGGGTTGAAGGAACTCGGGGCGTTCAGGCTAGAGAAGAGCAGCCTGGTGCTGGTGGCAGTGGTAGAGGCAGCGGTGATGGTGGTGGTGAGACATGAAAGCTATTCCGTGTTTGAAGGGCTGTGACATGGAGCAGGGTTTATACTTACTGTGCTTGGCCCCAGAGGCAGGACCGGAAGGAGTGAGGGAAGTCGAGGCTGGATGTCCAGAAGAACTTGCTTATAGAGGTGTCCCAGAGAGTGCTGGGCGGCCTGTGAGATGGCAAGTTCCCTTCATTGTTCAGGTTGAGGCTGGGGGATGGCTTGTGGGGTGGATCATAGGGGCAATTCCTTTCAGATCCAGGGGGCAGTAGCTGGCTTCTAAGGCCCTTTGCACCCCAAGCTGTTGATTCTGATTCTCTGTGGCCCAACGTCTATACTTTGTACATGGAGTCAGTGTGTCACCTTCCCCACCCCACCATATTCTCTCTGTGGCAGTTGTATTGTTCCTAGGTAATTATGGGAAGGGATAGAAGTGCTGGTGGGGTGAGCCATCAGGCCTTTTCTGGGAGGCTGAGTGCGTAGTGTTGGGCGTGTGGACGCGAGGGGGAGCCAGGCAGGAGCCCGTTGGCTTGTCCATGAGCGAGCGGCGTTACAGACATACTTTCCCAGGATTCCTGTTGATGTGCACTGTGGGCTTGGCATTAACACTGAGTGTGGTGGGTAAAGGATGAATATTTCATCGGGGCTTAATGCATCACAATGCGCCATTACAGGATTGGGCTGGTTGTCTTAAAGCCAGAGCTCTTCAAATCAAATCAGGTGCTTCTGGAAGCCTCTTTAGGGTGCTTTTAATTGTCGATATTAAGCATTGGAGGGGCACGTTCCAAGCAGAATATTTTCGACTACAAATGAATAGTGATGAAATCAAGGTCTTGCTAATTAAAAAATTAATAAACTATTAGTGGTAGACTGCTTAATTTTTCCTGTTTAGGATTTTCCTTTAACATAAGTAGGAAATTTGGTCTGCAAAAGAAAACTGAGGATGCAGTCTTCGAGCAGAACTTTCTCCTTGAGGTTACCTCATTCATGACACTTATTTTCCACATAAAAATATCACACGGGGATTTGAATCCGGGTCCCTTCAGTATGTCTGTGGAGCATGTTGTTTTTGTTATTGTGGTTAATTTTTTGTCACGAAGCTTAAAAAGATCCACAAACATGACTATTTCCATAAACAAAAGATGATCACCTGCAAACCTAAGACGTTCTGTTATATACAGTTTTTAAAAATACAACAAATTTATATTTACCATGAATTTACTTTAGTGAGGAGGCGCTCACCTGAATTGGTAGGAGTTTTGTCATCTGGGAGTTTCTTATTCCCAATAAAATTGTAACTCGGGCCATATCCTTGTATTAAATTTAACAAGGTAGTAACAAAATGCAGTGCATTTTCCATATGAATTTGCTTATAAACGTTGGGCTCGTGATGAGCTGAAGAGAGGCCCGGAATTGGTGCCAACGAGCACTTGCAGTTTTCTTCATTCTGATTATATACCAATGAGATTATTTAGGGAATGACTCCCCTCTTTAAAAAAAAAAAATCATCAACCATAGGGAGGGATAAGTTCATGGGCTGGCTTTTTCCAGTTTCCCGAGTTGGGGTGTGACTTAGCCCCCAATGAAACTGACAGTCATATGAAATTGAGCTTTCCCTCCTTCCCCCGTTTCCTTTTGCAAATCTCTGTTTTCTTTACCATATGTGTGTTTTGTTTTCCAGCAAGCCAGGGCTGAGCAAGAGGAGGAGTTCATCAGTAACACCTTATTCAAGAAGATTCAGGCCTTGCAGAAGGAGAAGGAGACGCTGGCTGTGAATTACGAGAAGGAGGAGGAATTCCTCACTAATGAACTCTCCAGAAAGCTGATGCAGGTAAATGGCCCTGTCGGCCCTCCGTCCTTTCCCCTCCAGGGAAGTCGAGTTAGCCGGTCCAGCAGCTTGCTCCAAACGTCTGCTGAGGAGGAGGATCCTGAGAGGTCAGGGTGACTCGGATGGAGGCTCCTGGGATATTTCCGGGGCCTCTCTGTTGCCATGGGATCAGCCTTTGCTTTTTACAAACATCTTCCTTAACATTCCATGTTAGAATTGTGGAAATATGCAAGACAAGTCAGTAGATGGTCCGCATCCTTTGGCCCAACAATCGCCCTGCCACGCTCCCCGAAGGGTGCTGGTGTCAGAGGGAAAGGCTCTCTGACAGGGTCTTCACAGCAGGAGGCTTTGTGGTAGCCGAAAACCAAAGACATGGTCGTCCACAGATCCAGGGGATGGCGGAAGAGGCGGTGGTATATGGATATAGTGAGATACTACAGTATCATAATAAAGGATGACGATTTAGGGCATTCCAATCATTTTTTTTTTAATGATGGCCATTTTTAGAGAGGGCAGTCAGTTTAAAGAGGGGATGGATAAAGTCTGGAGGAAATCAGAGACATATCAGAAGAAACATACATCATTAGGAACTGACGCAGGGCAGAACAAACAGCCAGGAGAAGCCTATACACAGTGACTTAAATACCAGGGAGTGATGGCCCCTGAAAGTATTGTGTTTCCAGAACCAGTCTCTCCTCACCCTGCTCCCTCCTCCACCCTGCTGCCAAAGTGACCTTCCCCAAGCCAGGTCTGACCCTGTAGCCCCCTAGCCAACACACTGCAGCGGCTTCCTATGATCCCTCCAGATCACATACAGAATCCTTTACTTGGCTTAGCCTGGCCCCTCCCCACCTTTCCAGCCTTCTGACTCCTCTTCACCCACCAGGCAAATCCAATCCAATGACACTGGCCTCCCTCCTCACACCACACAGGTCACTTTTTGACTCTGGGCATCCTCACTGGCCATGCCCCAGGCCGGGGATTCTCTCCCAGTATCCCAGGTCCCACCTGGACCTGAAAGGAATTGTCCCTACGATCCACCCCACAAGCCATCCCCCAGCCTCAGCCTGAACAAGGAAGGGAACTCACCATCTCACAGGCCGCCCAGCACTCTCTATTGTATTGTCCTATGAACTGTATTTTATTCAGCACGTGGTGCCTGTGGAGCTCCGTGCTTGGCGCTGGGGACCTGGAGACAAAGACAAAACCACTTCTGCCATGGTGAATAACCTGGGTCCCGGATGCCTGACCCAGAGGCAGCCCTCCCTGTGCTCAGTGGAGGGAAATGGACCGGGGCAGGGGGGTGCAGTGCAGCAGACCGTGTCGGCAGAAGTCGCTGGGTTGGTTGGCTTAGCACGAGGCTCGCTGTATTTGGGGTGAGGATGAGAGGAGGGAGCACTTCTTGTCTTTGAATGCCCCGAGCCTTCCTTGATTGATAAAACTTTAAAAAACCCAACAACAAACCAGCTTCCTTTTGATAATGGGGGCCGAGCTTCTCCCTGGGAGTTAACTCCAAATGGTAATGATTTTTTTTTCCTTTGTGCAAATGAAGGCATTGCAAATCCTTCTGGCACTGAGTAAGCTGAACGTCAGAGCTAAAATGGGGGCAAAGAGAAGGCAATGTTGGGTTTTTTCCTTAAAAAGGAAAATCACAACCTTGTCAGTTAAATGCTGCAGAATGAATTATGTCATGCAAATGACTGATTAATGCCACATTCTCACCACATGACAGATAGAGAAATGGAAGGGTTTTTTAAGGTTACTTCTTAACACTCATTGACTCTTAGGTGAGGCCTTTGGTGAACTCACTACTCCCTGGCTTCTCCCCCTACGACGCCCCCATTACCTAGTGTTTGCTTCTGGGTGTGTGCATTGTTTCTTGAGCTAGAGTGGAATCTCCTTGAAGGCAGGAATGCTTTTTTTTTTCCTCTTTGTGTCTCCAGAACCAAGCATGGGCCCCCGTTCTAGGATAGGCTCTTAAATGCTCTGGATTGCTTGGTTGTGCTGTACATGGCATACCCTAAATAACCAACAGATGAGCCCGGGGTCTTGGAAGTACAGGACCTACCAAGCCTCCTCGTCCAGTCTCATCTTATAGACAAAGAGCTGCAGCCTCGGGTGGTGAAGTGACTCACCCCAGGCTGCATAGTAATGAGTGATGGAGCCAGGATTCGAACCCAAACCCTCAGCCCTTGTACCATACCTGCTGTGTTTAAGAGTTTAAGGATCCCTGTTTCTGCTTCTTCGAATTTACTAATTAAGCATAGGTTAGAAATGTTGTTGACTTGATAATGCAAGTCAGCCGTGATGCTCTTCAGTCAGTTGACCAGTTGCCCCTTGGAACATCGATTTACTGGAATCCTGTTTTTGTGGAACCAATGATATCCTTTAGGTTAGCCCAGTGGTTCTCCAACTTTGTGTCCTGAAATCTCTTTACACTCTTAAGAATTATCAAGGACTTCACATTTTTAAACAGTTTTCTGCTTATGTGGACTCAGTCTATCGATATTTATTGTATGAGAAATGAAAATATCTTTGTATGATTATGACAATACTTTTAACCTCAAGAAACCTCTGAAAGGGGATTCTCGTGTCAAGTACCAGGACCCTCTCATCAAGACGTCAGCACTGCGCTTAGCTTGGATTGTCCAAATTAGAAAAGATGAAAGGTGTTCCAGGAAGTTGGAGTGTTTCCGTGCTGTCCTCCAAGGCAGGGGAGAGCTGACGGGATTGGGGAAGGACCGAAGAATGAGGAGATCACTTGGAGAGTGTTAACTGTTGGTGATGGAGGATTGGCTGCATCATCCCTCGGGCTTTCCCCAGGGCTTTGCTCCACCTGTGCTCAGATGAGGATAGAGATGGAGGGGTGTTGGTTTGCTTTGTGGGGAGCTCAGATGCAGCGTGGCCCTTAAAATCCACCTCTTCCTCCCCCTAGACCTGTCTCTTCTGCCATCAGTCAGGCACAAAGCCCCAAAGCCATCTCAGACTCTCGTCCCTCCCCACGTCTGGGTGGTGACTACTGACCTGCTGATCTGCCAAATCTCTCTTCTCTCCGGTCACACACCCACTTCCCACCTTCCTTTCATCCTTTACACCTCTGCTTTGTGAACTGTTACTCACATTATCTCCTCCTCACCCCAATTGTAATCCCAGTTAGCATTTATATGGTGCCTGCTATGTGCCAGGCACACAGCTAACTACTTGACAAATGCTCATTTGATCCTCACAACAACCCACTGGAGGAAGGTACTTTTATTTCCCCATTTCATAGATGAGGAACCTGAAGACAGAGGCTGAGGGACTTACCCAGGGTCATGTCGTTAGTGTCTAAGGCCAGATTTGAACTCAGGTCTTGCTGCCTATCTATTGCAGTACCTAACTGCCCAGTTATTAAGTTGTAAACTCTCTGAGGACAGGAATTGTGGGTGAAATTTTTTTTTTTGTCTCTGTGTTCCCAGTGGTAGCTCAAGTAGTAAGAGCTTAATGAAAGTTTGTAGAATTGAATACCAGCTTGGGTTCAAATTGTTTGTGGAAAGATGAGTGGGGAAGATAGGAAGGAAGTTGTGGGTAGAACCACTCGTCCGCCTGCTGCTGCTGCTGCTGCTGCTGCTGAGTGATTGATCCTTGGCCCGCCCAGATGACGCATCCTCCCCCAGCCCTCCAGGGATCTCTTCTCCACCACTTTCGGCCATCCAACTGCCCCATCCTACCAACACTGACTTTGCCGTGATGCTGGCCGTGTCTCCTCATGGGCTCCTCACGGCTGCACCATTTTAGAATGAGAAGAGACCTAATACGTGTGGTCTAGACCGCTTCCTGCAGTTTTCCCAGTAGAGGACACTGAGGCAGCTGTATGGGGAGGGGCAGGAAGGCGGCCCTTAAGCTGAGCTTTGAAGGAGACTATGGATGCCGTGAAGCGGAGGGAGCAGAGTGTTTTCTGGGGATCTGGGATGCAGCTAGGCCAGAACCCAGAGATGTAAGATGTAACATCGTGTGTGGGAAACAGCACGGCACCTATGTTGGTTTGGATTGGTACCATGTTATATATTTTTCACAACTCAAGAGGTAGAGGTTTTGTTTGAGGACACCTTCCATTTTAAGGGCAGAGAAAGACTTTGTGTCACACAATGGGGTTAGAATCCTCCCCTGGGCACTTACTCCCTGGTCTATGTTAGTATTTATTTACTTTATGCTGTATTTTTTGTCTGCTTGCAGTCTCCCACTTTAGCTCATAAGCTTCCGGATTTTTTCAATCTGTGTCCTTGTGTCCGCAGCACCCAGCAGGGCCCGGCACACAGGCGCTTCATGAGCATTTCTTGACTGATCACAGGTGGGATGTAGGCTGAAGTAGGCTCTCAGAAACGTCCAGGACGTGTCATGTCTGTTAGCCTTGTCTTTCTGTGGCTGCAGTGACAAGCGGCTTGTCATCCATCCATGCTAGACCTTCTCTGACCTGGGGAGGTGCTGTCTCATTGGGGAGGTAACCTGGGTTATCTGCCATTTGTGTCCAGCAAAGCCACCGTGACAGAATGAGGCCTTGGCTCTTTGGACGCACTTGCCAGGGTGATTGGAGAATTGGAGGAGTGTTCTTCTGAGCCTGCTCTCTCTGGCGTGGGTTCCTACCTCCTTTGGATGGAATGTTGGAAAACACTTAGGTTTTCTTTGAATTTAATCTGTGGTTCATCTTCCATCTTAATCTCATGTTTTATTTTTGTCCCATTGGTTTTCACATTTTGCCAGCTGCTACTTTCACAAGTGAGTTTTTTTTTTAAATTTCCAAGACAGCGCTTTACATTTTGTTTCCTGTTTTCTCGTTAAAAAACAAAACCACACTAGTCACCCGGCTTCCAAACTGTGATGTCTCCTGAGTCACAACAGAAGAGACCAGGCAGCAGGGCCTTTTGTTTCAGTTCTGTGTGTGGGCGAAAGTGAATTCTGTGTTTCTTGGCTTTTCAGTGCCCAGTCTAGAGCTCATTTTCCAGATGTTTGAAAGTCTCAGAAATCACCTCACTTCAGTCCTGAGAGGTACAATTTTTCTAGATGTTCCTTGGGGTAGTTTTTGAGGGGAACATTTCTTTGGGAACATTTAAACGTTATACACTTACCCTATCTGTGTTGTCTGAGTTTAAAAAACAAAACAAAACAGCACCAAGCCTAATTGGATGTTGGCCATGATAACAGGCATCACTGACTTCACTGGGATCTCACAGTGTGTACACTCACCCCAATGCAGATCCACAGCGGATTGGTAATTTGTGATCTGAGAGAAGTGTGCCTGGCTGGTCTGTGATCGTACAGCCAGTATGACCAGGGAAGGCTTTAACTCCAGTCTTCCTAACTGACCCTCACACCTTGGCTGCCTCTCAAAGATACTTATCACTTCAAGGAAATGCACATAAATAGCAAAGAAAGAAATTGAAGAAAAAGTTCCCTGCTGAAAAATTCTTTCTTTTTTGTGATTTGATTATTTTAATGCAAGGAATCCTGTTGTTTTCCCCACATGGGAGGTGCCTAATTGGTGTTAAATGCAACTTATTTTGTTTTTAGAAAATGATTGAGTGAGAGTCAGGATGCTTACCCAGAGCAGGGGTTCTTCACCCCTAGGCAGTGGAGCCCATGGACCCCTTCTCAAAGTGATGTTTTAATATGCATAAAATCACATATATGGAATGATAAAGGAATCCAATTATATTAAGGTACCATTATCAAAACATTTTAAAAACGCGTTTATGGACGTCGGGTTAAGAGCCCTGGAGAGGTGTCACGGTGGAGTGGATAGAGTGCAGGGCTTGAAGATAGGGAAGACCTCTGCCCCGCAGTGGCTTCCAGCCTCTGGGCAGGTCATTTCACATGTCTGAGTTTGGGAGAGAAGGTGTAGACCTGCATGGGCAGGTGACCTCCCGTGGCCATGTAGGTCTCTCTCCATCGCTTCCCTGGCGATCTCTTCCTTTTTCTCTGGTCACCCACCACCGCATGTCTCCTTTGTCCTTGGGCTGAGCTATAGTTGGGGGCCTCTGGGGCTCCTGGCCCCAGATACAGAATCATTGCAAGAATGTGGATGTTAAGGCCATAGCAATATGCATGAATTATACATACATTATACGAACAGCTCACGGAGCCTTGATTGAGCCGTATTTACTGAAATAAGCATGCTGCGCATAGTATGGGATTCTGGACCTTCTCTCGGGCTCTGCGGTATGCTATTCTCTTTTGGAGGGGCACAGAGGAAAAGGAAGGGGGGCGGCTTGAACTCAGACACCCTGGGTGCTCCTCTGAGCCTCAGTGTCCTCATCTGTAATGTGGGAAATAGAATAGCCTGCTGCCCTCACAGACAGACTTTGCACACCTTCTGCACTGGAGAAATGGAATTTTTATTATTATTGTGAGAATTAGCCAGGATGGATTGCGCAGCCGCTCTTCAGTAGGGATTGTGAGTGTGGTGATCACTTGTGTGGAGGATTGATTCACTCACCGCCTTAGGACTTGTGTCCAGAGGGACAGCCTGGGGCTGCGTTCACCGCGGGGCGGGTGGGGGTTGGATCCCAGGCTCCTGTACCGCTTGGATTTCATGCCTGCCGCTGTTTGCATCCCCTTTGTGTAGCTGCAGCACGAGAAGGCAGAACTGGAGCAGCACCTGGAGCAGGAGCAGGAGTTCCAGGTCAATAAACTGATGAAAAAGATCAAGAAACTGGAGAACGACACCATCTCGAAGCAGCTCACGCTGGAGCAGGTACGCGCTGCGCCCTGCCCCTCCCCTCCCCTCCCCCCGCGTGCCACGCCCCGCCCCTCCCCTGCGGGCCGGTCTCTCTGGCCTGTGTCCTGGGCGAGGACTGGCCTGCCCCTTCCTCTTGTCAGGCCCCCCGTGGGCCAGACAGCTTCTTTCTGCCCTTGGCATTGTCTCGGTGCTCAGAGCTGCAGTGACAGGGTTTCGGAGGGCCCTCCGTATCCTGTGCTCTCACCCCCACGCTCGGTCTTTGAAACCTCCCAGAGCAGATGTGCAGGAGGGGGGCTGGCGTGTGTCATGCTCACGTAGGCTGAGGAAGGCCGCAGTGAGTCCCAGGAGGCTTGGAGTGAGCGGAGGATCAATTTTTGTCAGAGGAGAAGGTTTTATGTCCCCAACAAAATATTGCAGCCTTAGAATGAGAACCTGCCTTTAACCAAGTGATGGAAATCACTCTGGCCTGGCTTATTATGCTACTTTATGTGAATTTTTAAAATTTGGTGCACATAGTAGGCATCTAATGTTTATTGAGTTTTTAAAACTTTCTTATGAATGTTCTCTTTAGTTGCTTTAATTACTCTTAATAATTACTAATACCAATAAAAATGAGTCAGCTTAGTATAGGGGATAGAGAGCTGGGTCAGGAAAAACCTGAATTCAAGTTCTGCCTCTGACATATACTGGCTGTGTAACCCCTGAGGAAGTCATTTAGCTTTTCTCTGCCTCAGTTTCCTCATCAGTAAAATGGGGAAAATAATAGCACCTTCTTCCCAGGGCTGTTTTGAGGAGAAAATGAAATCGTATTTGTAAAGATCTTTGCAATCCTTAAAGTGCTATGTCAGTGCTAGATGTCATCGTCGTCGTCGTCATCATCATCATCATCATCATCATCAGGCGTCTGGTTCACCCTCCTCATTTTGCAGATTCGGAAGCTGAAGCGCAGAACACAGACGCCTGTGGGCCTGCACTGTCCGCCTCAGTAGAAGGGAAGCTCCTGGTGGCCATGGGATGCTCCACCTGGGTTACTCGCATGGCCACAAGGTGGGGCTAGAGCCTCAACTTTCCTAATTGGAGGTGGAGCAGCTGGGGACACTTTACTGCAATGCTAGTTCCAGGATTCAAACCAGGGATCTGCTTCAGTGTCTCCTGTGCCTAGCACACAGTCAGGGTTTAGTATGCCCAGGAACATGGGGGTGTAAGAACCCAGGTCTCTGGAGCCCTTCCCACCATGCCCCACTGCCTCATCTTGGCCGTGTTGGGGTAGCGTTAGAACTGTGTGTCTAGAATAACCAGAGCTGAGCTTCCTTTCCCTAAATAAAGATGCATCTTCTAAGTTGAGGCCTGCTTCCTCTGGATCCTGATTAAAAATATGCTCAGCCCCTGAATTGGGCCCTTCAGTTCCTAGTTACAGCAACCGCAGGTCACTGGATTCTGTTCAGGATGAAACCTCAGAGATGAGGATTTACTAAACAATCTCTTACAGTCTTTTGGGGAAAGTTATGCTCTGGATCCCCTAGGCTGTGAAGGGTGCCAGTGGGCTCACTTGAGACACACACAGTTTCCCAAGATTCCTTCTTTTCTTGTATTTATGCAGTGACTTGAGAATCGAGGGTAGGCGGTGTTAAAGCAGCCGTGGGTGGTGTTGGACAAAGGGAACCAGGCCAAGAATTCAGCCTTCCCTTCTCAGCTCCCACTGGAATGCTGTGACTGGAGGTGGTTCACTCCCTTCCTAGGACTTGGTTTCCCCTCCTCTACTGAGAGGGGCTTGGACTGTGGAGGAAAACTGCCTGAGGCCCTTTTGGCAGGGGCAGCAGATGGAGCTGATGTTGGGTAGGATCCAGGACAGATGCAGCTTTGGCACGCAGTACAGCAGTGCATTCGTGAAGGCTTTGAAGGTGCATTTTAGGGAATGACTTTCCAGGCCTGGAAGGGGCCGTAGAGATCGCCTCGTCAGGGCACCTCACTTTATTCCCTTTCCCAGGTAAGGCCCAGAGAGGAGAAGTGACTCTCTCAAAGTCACCCAGCGGGGAATCGGTGACAGAACCAGAGTTCAGACCCGAGGCTCTTGACTCCAAATCCAGAGCCCTTCCTACTGCTCTGCAGAGCTGCCTCTCCATTGGCATTTCATCAGCCGAATATTTATTTCTCAAGTTCTTTCATAATGATCTAAAAAGTAACTTCAGAAGATCGAATTTAATTCCTTTTATTTATTTATGTAGGCAATTGGGGTTAAGTGACTTGCCCAGGGTCACACAGCTAGTAAGTGTCAAGTGTTTGGTCTGAGGCCGGATTTGAACTCAGATCCTCCTGACTTCAGGGCCAGTGCTCTTTCCACTGTGCCACCTAGCTGCCCCTAATTCCTTTTTAAATTAAAAAATTTTTTTGTACCCAAACTGTGATTTCATCAGTATGGGGAAGTCCCAGTGTGGAAACTCCCTTTTCTGACACAAATCAGTGTTTCGTCTGTAACGTAAGGAGTCTTAGAGTCAATCAGTTAACATTTAGTAAGTACCTTCTGTATGCTAGGCCCTCTGCTAAGCTCTGGGGATGCTCAGAGAGGCAGAAGACAGTCTCTTCTTTAGAGCTCACTTTCTGATGGGGTAGATGACATGCCAGAGACTGTCTGCAAACAAGCACTAGACAGGATCAATGGTAGATAATTGACAGAGGCGCTTGGCTCCTTTTGGGGTTAAATGACTTCTCCAGGGTCACAGAGCCAGCGCGTATCAAAGGCAGAACTTGAGCCCAGGTTTTTAGACACTGAGGCCAGCCTTCTGCTATACCATGGTGTGCTTTCAGATCTATAGTGTAGTGAAAACAGATGGCTTAACACTATAACATTCCAGTTGCCTTGCCTCAGTGTGCCCAGGGCATCCTCGTGGTGTACGTGATGCATCAGGTGACATGCCTGTGTACATTCATGCTTGGGGAGGCAGGGGAAGGTGCGCCTCGCGTGCTCTTCAGCTTAGGAGGTTGGGTTTCCAGAGGGCTCTTTTCTCTCCAATGTATTGTTCATTGTTGGTTCTTTCTGGAGCTTCTCAGGGCAACCTGGGAGTTGTGAGTTGCGGCCCGAGAGGTTCAGCATTGCTGTGGAAGTATCACAGTGGAGAGTCTGTCGGGCAGTGGGGGCAGGATGGCCAGGAGGAGAAGGCTGGCGGGACTGGTGCCCTCCAGATACTGTTGGTGTGGTCGCCTCCTTATTCTCTAGAAGCCAGAGTTTGGCATGCACTTGTTTTTATGTCGTCTACCTGATTGGCCCGGGAGCTCCCTGAAAGCAGGGTCTGCTTCTTGCCTGTCTCTGTATCCTGCCCTTAGCACAGTGCCTGGCACATAGTAGGTGCCTAATAAATGATGCTGGATTGGTTGAAGAGGATCCAAGTTTAATTCCATCCAAGGAGGTTTTGTCCCCAGGCAGCTCTTCCAAACTATCATGTATTTACCTTGTTTGTACTTAAATGTGTACCCACGGTCTCCGTTTACTGGAGCAGCCCCGCCATGACCTCTCGGTTTCTTGGGGGTCCTGAGAAGGGCAGTGACTTACCCAGGCTCTCACGTAGCCAGGACTCAGACTCACACCTTCCTGCCTCCGAGGCTGGCTCCCTGTTGACTCCTTTGTGGGGCTTCTCTTGGGGCATTAACTCTGTTTGTTGGATGCTATTTCTAGCAACGCCTGCTGATCTCTCTTTTATGTGAGGGATCTGATGTCAGAGCTCAGGGGCAGTTTAGCTTTAGAAGGTGTCTGTCATGGGCGTGACTTCCTTTTAGATTGCATCCTTGGCATTTTCAGTGGGCCATCAGATGGACGCCGGTGTATTTGGGTCCGTCGTTGATGGAGCCGTCTCCACACTTGTGTTGCTGTGGGGGCTGGTAGTGTGTGTGTGTGTGTGTGTGTGTGTGTGTGTGTGTGTGTGTGTGTGGCAACAGCCTCTCTGTTCCAGGCACATCTGTCTTAACAGACCTCGACCATAAATAGAGGTTGATTTTTTTTGTTTCTGAAGTTCTCAAAGTCAGGGGTCGGAGAAATGCCCGGGCCAGCTGAATTCCGCAGATTACTGAACAGATGGCAGCGGTGGTGGCTTGGAGCTGGCATTGGGCAGGTCGCCTCCTGAGGGCCTTTGCCATGCCCTGTGTGTCTGTGGCGCTTTACCAGGTGCTGCCCTTCCGTCGTCTCCTTTGATCTACCCATTGATCCACCCTTTGAGGTGGACTTGTGCAGGAGGCCTTCCCCAAGGCGCCTCCATCGCCCTCCATCACTGGTGATTTCCTCCCATTTATCCAGGATAGATCTAGTGTGTATGTGGTTGTTGGCAGGACTCTCCCTGCTTGGGGATGCTCGGCGCCGTGCTCAGCACCATGCCTGGCACACGCAGAGTAAGCACTTCATAAAATGCTGGTGGATTGCCTGTGGAAGCATTTGAATGCAGCAAAGAACCGTACTTTTTCAGGGTAGAAAAACTCCTTCCATCAAGGCAGCCTGCAGCCCGGTGTCATGTGAGCAGGGGGTGCTGGAAAGAGCCCAGATTAGGAGGCAGAACACGGGCTTTGAGTCTGGGCTCTGACGCTGCTCCCTGTGTGGCCTTGGACGGTCTTGGAAGCTCTCTGGGCCTTACTTTGTCCCTTCCCCAAATAAGACAGTTGGACCAGAGATCACACGGTGCCCGCTCTCCAAAGCCCGCGGCTTGCCAGGGGCTACCCAGCTGGTCAGTGGCAGTGGCAGCGTTGGAGCTGGCATCCCCTAAAGCCGCATGGCCGCTGCTTCCCAGCAAACATGGGCTGCACATTTCCAGACTCTCATCTCAGAAATGAGATGATTTAGGGACAGAGAAGTTATGTAACATGCCCAAGGTTGTCTGGCTGAGAATTAGAGCCACAAACCTAGAGAGAGAGAGAGGGAGAGAGAGAGAGAGAGAGAGAGAGGGAGAGAGAGAGAGACAGAGAGAGAAGGAGGGGGAGGGGGAGAGGGAGAGGAGGATGAGGGAGAGGGAGGAAGAAAGAGGATGGACTGTATTTGATACTGCTATTTCCCGTTGTGTTTCTTCTGCCCATACTTTGGTCCCTAATTTATGATATACAGTTTAAAAATTCAGAATGTCCCATGGGGAGGTAAAGGTAGAGAGGGTGTGGGCTATTATGATTGACCAAAGGATACCCGGAGAAGTGAATTGTTTTATCCCTTTTATTCAGTTTCTTTTTAAAACTTCTTAGGCCGTGCTTTTGCTCTTGAACACAGTATAGGACATTGGCTTGGAGGGAACTGAAGTTGTCCTTGGATTTTCTGGAGGGTCAGCAGGTTGAGCGCTTGGCTGCGCGGCGCCCTCCGCACTGGCCTCACCGTTTCCTGTAGGTGGCCTGCAGTTCCTGGAGGCTGTGCCCAGGGAGAACGAGCGCTGGGGTTGTCACCAGTCCAGGCCCTGCGTGACTAAGCTCAGAGAGGACCGTCACTGGGGGGGCTGCAGGGAGCTGGATTCCCTAAGGCCGGCTGTCAGTCAGGACACGAATGGGCCGCTGTCTGCTCAGAGGAATGAGGGATCCTGGAAATAGCGGAACTGCTTAGAATGGCGTTGAAAAGGGAGGGAGTTAGTGGAACTGTGAGGGGGCCCGGGAGGGTCCTTTTTGTTTGGTTGGCTCTAGGTCAGTCTCATGTTGAGGTCTGATCTTTTGAAGCAAAGTGACCTGTCCAGGTGGCACTATAGTGCACAGAGCGCCGGGCCTGGAGTCAGGAAGACTCCATCTTCCTGAGTTCAAATCTGTTCTCAGACACTTACCAGCTGTGTGACCCTGGGCAAGTCACTTCACCCTGTTTGCCTCAGTTTTCTCATCTATAAAATGAGCTGGAGAAGGAAATGGCAAACCACTCCAGCATCTCTGCCAAGAAAACCCCAAAGGGCGTCACAAAGAGTAGGACATGAATGAAGAAAAGCAGCACTGACTTGTGCAGGGTATTAAGGGCCAAATAAATTCTAGATACATTGACAAAAGCACGACAGTGAACAAATGTTCTAATGGGATAGACATAGCCATATACATGTACACATGTATACACATGCACAGATGGATATAGACAGCATGTATAACACATTCACATATATATACAACCTATGTATCAAATACATATCACATACATATAACATATACACACACCACATAGGACACATGTGCGTGTGTACACACACGGACATGTATTTATATGTATACGTGCATACCTCTATGTGTATGTATACATAGTATACACGTATACATATGTATATGCAAACATGCCTGTGTCGTGCACACATACACATTGCACAATGTAATACAGATACTTCACAATATACATACAAAACACAAACGTATGCATGCATGCACATACATATGCATGCGTATATACACATAAACATTTATATGCATATACGTGCAAATGCATCATATACGTAGACATAAGTATTGACATAATACATGCAGTGAGTGGAGGTAGTTTATTGGGGGGGGCACTAGAAACTGAGGGGATCAGGAATGCCTCATGTTGGAGGGCATACTGCACTTGAAGGCTGGCAATGGTTTTTTTTTTGTCTTTGTATCCCTGTATCTAGCACAGCTCCTGGCATATAGCAAGGGCTTTTTGAGTGATAAAAGTGTCAAAGCTGGGATTTGAACCCAGGTCCTCTCTCTGTAATCCAATATTCTTTCTAAAACATGGCTCCTCCTCGGCTCCTTCCTACCCCCACCCCAAGCTGGTCCTAAGAAGCCCCAAGGCTCCTCACCTACGTACATTCATCCTGTAATTCCTCCCAGCTAGCCCTGACTGAACTGTAGCTGAGGCATGTAGGGTGGGAGGGCCGCCTTTGTCCTGTCTAATTAACTCACTCTGGCTGCCTCACCTTTCTCTGGCTTCTTTTTCCCCTTGACAGCTCCCCTCAATGCTTACTGTTCTAATGGGAATGATTCTCATTGCCCTCCTTCCCTCACAGGGTTGTTGAGGGGAAAGCACTCTGTGAACCTTAATATTTCAGTGATCTGTGATAGCAGTGAGGGCGCTGCCTCCGTCCTAGGGTCAAAGCTGGCAGTGACCATCAAGGTCTTTTGGTCTAAGCTTCTCCTTTTACAGATGAACATACTGAAGCCTGGACAGGGTATGGGCTTGCCTAAGCTCCCGCAGATCAGACCAGGGGCTTCCCTCAGCACAGTCCATCCGTCCCAGGGACCCTGAGCCCCTTCCTCCTGAAGTCGTTTCACATTTTATGAATACAAATGCAGTGCTTGGCCCTTCCCTCATTTGGCTGGTGTCTCCGACACCCCTTCTCACACATGTGCCATCACGGGTTCAGTGGGACCCCAGCCCGGGTACACCCAGCGAGCATTTCCATGCTGTCCTTTGGGTCATCCCGGGTATTGAGTCTTCAGTGAGGGTTCTGTGGTTGACAGCCAATCTACGTCTCTGAGTGTTAGAGAGATAATTGTCTTTATTGTTGGTTAGCATGGCTTGCTGGCTTGTCTTTTGTCAGTCTGTTTGCTCACCTTTGCCATCTTCTCTTGTGCCTTTCACGGACATTGCCAGTAGGGACAGTGCTGCCTCCTGCCCCCAGATTGGATGGCTGTGTGTGCAGGCCCTGGCATGTGCTTCATCTGAGCTGGTGATTAAAGTTCTCGTTGACATTTTAAAAAGTCATTATGTGGGTAGGAATTTAGCTCCCAAAATGGAATGGAAAGTGAAGTCTGACTTCTTTTCTTTGTTCCCAAGTAATACTTTGAGAGTAGGCCGTCTGGAAAGGTGTATTTAATTAGCTACCATTTTGAAGGACATTAAATATTCCTGACTTATGGGTGGTCCCGCACCCCCCCCCCCAGTATTTACTGAAATTATCCAAATGATGCATTCGTGAAATGGCCTCAGCTGTAGGTATTCTTAGCTTGGAACCTCTTTTTAAAAAAAATAACCATTTCAGTAAACTTGGTTTCATTGTCATCTGATGTGTTTCATTTTATGCATTTAAAAGTGATTCTGAGAAGAGGTCCCCACGCTTCCCCCACGTGCCTCAGTGTGGGGGCTGCTCCCTTTACATACTTTCCCCTGTCTTGTTGGAAGAATCCATCCAGACAGACGTCCAGTGAGTTCCACATGGCCTTCTTGCAGGCTGCGACCTTGGCCATGGTAATGGTGGTGACGACCACCTGACTTTGCACGTGCTCTTTCTCGCATCTTCTGGACAAATTAATAGTGACTGTCCTTGGGATACACTAGACCTGCCCACTTTCTGTTTCCTTGTTTGTTCTCCCTGGTGCCTTTTAGAAGATAAGCCCCATTAACAGAGATGCTTGAAAATGCTGGCCTGGGACTGAGGCCCGCACATGCTCTGAAAGGATCCTCCCTGTGGTTTGGCCAAATGCCTCCAGTATACAAACTCACTTCATGTGTGTGTTTGTGTGTGTATGTGTGTACGTGGGGGTGTGTTGCAGCATCAAGGAAAGAATATCTGGAAGCTTCCATTTCTAGTTTGTTGTCACAGTGAGTGTGGAGCCCACTTATATGGAGAGGCAGGGGAGAGTGGTGGGCAGAGCCCACATTGGATTTGAATCCTGGCTTTCTCTCTCATGGAAAGAGAAGGTGGGACTCAGGGCGGTTCTGAGGGCATAGCTCACATTTGCAAGATAGTTTCTGTACGACGCTTCAACCCTGGGAAGTGGATGTACTTATTATCCCATGTTACAGATGAGGAAACTAAGACTGAGAGGTGTTAAGTGACTTTCCCAGGGTCACACAACTGCTAAATAAATGCCTGAGGCAGTATTTGAACTCTGGCCTTCTCTGCTCCGAGTGGAACATTCACCTAGTGTGTCACCAGCTCTGGATCTGTGACCTCAGGCTCCTTTTCCAAGGCAGCCTTCTGCTGGTTCTAAAATTAGGTATAATTGTTCAGTTAGCTTAACTGACTTCAGGTTCTGTGATGGATTCTAAGGTCAGACAAGAGATACTTTGTGTGTGTGTGTGTGTGTGTGTGTGTGTGTGTGTGTTTACTCTTTTATTTAAAAAAATTTTAAATACATTTTATTTCATTAAATATTTCCCAATGACACGAAAAATTTTTTAGATTCGTTTTTTAATATCTTGAGTTCCTAATTCTCTCCCTCCCTCCCTCACCCCTTTGAAGGTAAGCAGATATAAAATGGATTATACGTGTGAAGTCATGCAGAACATTTCCATGTTATCCACGTTGCAAAAGAAAGTGCTCTCTCTTGTGGAGAGCATGCTTCTCCCCGGCTGGGTCATGGAAGTCATTTGGGCGTGGCCAGGCTGGAGAGGCCTTGAGGCACCCTTGAAGTGTTTGCTATCGTCATCGTCGTGATTATCATCCCCAAACTGGAAACAGCCTTGCTTTTCAACATCTTTTGCCCCTGGTTTGTATTTGTAATTTTCTTGTTTGTAGGGAGCAGCTCTCGGGGTGGAAGCTCCCTCTCCCAAAGCACGTGGACCTCTTGTATGTCACTGATCATTTCCAAGTCTCCTAGGGTTAAAAGTCAGAGCTGAGACTGGACCCGAGTCTTCCTGTTATCAACACTTTACAGATGAGAAAACTGAGGCTGAAAGATAGGAGGTTGAATGACTTTTTCATGATCTTGTGGCTTGTATGTGTTGGAGGCAGGCCTTGAACCCGAATCTTTCTGCCCCCGGACCAGCCCTCTGTCCACTTACCGCACCCGCCCCTCTAGGGAGGTTCTGACCTTTTTGGTGGGATGAGGCCCACACGGGGTCAGCAGACTGGATGGTGAGAGTGAAGGGCTGGACCGTGGCAGTGACCGCACAGTGGAAAACCGGTGTCCCTGAGCTGTAGCGGCGAGGACAGGATGGACAGACAGTCGTTGGGCCCCTGTCAGGTTGGAGGGAACGGTGCAGAGCTCTTCTGTGTCTGCTTGGGGCAGCCGGGCCTGTGCAGGCACGAGCCCGGTGAACACAGTCGATGTCCCACGTTCTTATCCCGTGTCTTCCTCTTCCTTTAGCTGCGGAGGGAGAAAATCGACCTGGAAAACACATTGGAACAAGAACAGGAGGCACTGGTCAATCGGCTGTGGAAGAGGATGGACAAGCTGGAGGCGGAAAAACGGTGGGTGTGGTCCTTGAGCCGGTGGATGGGGTGGATGGGGCCCTGGGCGGGCCAGGGCCAGCTTCTCTCTTTTCTGTCTCCTCTTATCACTTGTGTGTGTGTGTGTGTGTGTGTGTGTGTGTGTGTGTGTGTGTGTGT